TTGTCATTTATATTTAAAATAAAATGTTAAAGGCAGTGTCTTAACAAGGATAGTCTCTGCCACAGCATTGCTTAACATGAAATGGTAAAGTAAATTTGTTTTCTTGAATCATGTTTTAATAGATTAAACGATCTTAGGAAGCGCCAACAATGGCTTTCAGGCATTGTGTCTGCAATATGAATCAAGTTAGAGGTGGGAAGCAATCAATAGGAAGCTGGAGTAAATTGTTGCTTGAAAAGTCTGGCCAGAGCCTCGCAGGCAAGAGCAACTCCACATATATTTTGTATTGTCTAGTTGACCTGTTTCATAACTACCTGTGAGGTGAAAGGATGCTCTTGTTTCTTTATATATTTTTTCTCGAAATTAGCTTCTTAGGTAGACAACTACACAATTTTTATCTTAGTTTTATTGCAACTTTTCTGGATCTATTGTAGGTACAAGGTGTGGTCTGTTTCTGGACCTTCTTTGCTTGGTATTCTGTAGTCAATGAAATTTATCATTGGCCATTATAATGTGCTTATTATCCTAACTACAAGACGAAGATTGTGTTGGAGTCTCAGGAAGTAAAATATTTAACTTAGAAGACCAGTGATGAATCCTATATTAAAACCTGCTACTGAATCTTCTAACGAGTCTGATGCAGTGAAATACGTCATTTAGAAAACCGGTTCTTAATCCCATACCAAAGCCCTTTATTGAAGATCCTAATGACAATAAGAAATTTGTTTAAAAAAAAAGAGAAATTTTCAACTGTGTCTATCAAATCGAGTGAGATGACTTAAAGACTACAGTGAAAAATAGGCTATGTATTGTGAAAAATGTTGTCAATTGCAGGTCGCTTTTAAGTAATTATGTAAGACAGATTATTTGATTACTGATACTCAGAAAAGGAAAATATAACTAAACACTATAGTGAAAAAGTCACTCATAGACATTCCAACCTTTTTAGAAATTTATCCCTGCATTACACGAATTGTGGATTTATTGATATAAATAAATATGCAGCTCAATGTTTGCCAACAAAACTGGTGACTGAGAAAATCAAATACAGCATGAGAAAGCATGACATATTTCAGAAGATATGTCTTTCCATTTACGAACTTACATCTCAAAATTTAGAAGATTCATACAGCTTGTGAACTTTATTGATTTGTGCTGTTCCATTTGTTTGTGTTATAATGTTTCTGAAACATTAATGTATTTTCAATAGAAAGGTGTAGATGTAGACAAGTGGTTTGAAAGGCCCAAGAAACTTAATCTCTATTTAATACTGAAAACTCAACTGGCAAGTTTACAAGATTAATTTTGTTGATCCACTGGATTAGTTTTCTTGAATTATTAATCACATTTACAGCTGTGATTAATAACCTTTAAGTGATCACTTATAAGTAGAACTAGTGTTTGACTCTGCACTTGGATAGTACAATAATCAATTTTTAGTTACTTTTTATGAAGGGGTTTGTGCTGTCCATACAGAGATATAGATATATAGAAACTTGGTTTCCCTTTTTTGAATAATGAAGCTGGTATACTAACATGATAAAAATGTGGCATTCTGAAAAGTCCTATAGAGCTTGAATTTGAATATATTTCCAAACAAAAGTAATACTTGATTAGAGTTGCTCTGGTGATTGTCAATTGTAGTTCTGTATTGACGGTTGTTGTATATATATTTATTTATAAAGAGAGAAGCCAACGACTTTTAATGAAGGATTAGTTATACTGAAACGAAACCAGTATTTTGTTAGATTTTGCCTGGTGATTGTGAAGTAAGGTTGTTCTTTAGTAGGTTGTTATTTTCAAATAAATTGTTTACCTGTAATAAAGACTTAGCCACATCAAGTGCCTTTACTTTAAATTATGAATAAAATTAAATCTTTGTGTCAGTCTATTTTCTTTTGCTCAAAATAAACACATTGACGCTCTGTATACAAATTATAAGACGTCTTTATAGTTACTTGCTACTTTCAGTTTTAATAAAATACCAATTTGAATATATTTTTGCTTTTTTATACATTTATTAATTAAAGTTAAGGGGTGTTGTATGGAGGATGTCAGTTCTTAGAATATACTACATTATTAAATAGAAATAACAAATGGAACTCAGCCCTCTTGTGAACCTAGGTTATTAAAATAATGTAATCACTTTAGTAGCTTAGTTATTTCAATAAAGTAAAAAATGTTATTAGAAATTTTGTCCTTAACTTTAAGACACTCAAGTGTAGGTACTTATTAATCAAATAATGGACAATTAAGATAAATCTAATCAAGCGGTATATGCATATTCATGAAACGAAGTTGAATGGAATTATTTATTTAGTCTTTAGTAATTACGTATCCACACTTTCTGAAGATTCAGTCGTATTTAATTTTATTTCACATTCAGAGTAACAGTTGGGATTGTCACTAATCGAAAAGATATTGTAATATTTTATATTCAAGAAATCAAAATGTCAATGGGGTAAAAATAAATAAAACACACCTTTGAAGTTTAAAGTAATTTCAGTTTGTCTTGATATAATGCACGAGACGTGCCCTTGATTCGTGACAAGATTATGAGGCTGCTTTTTACCTGTATTTTAGTTTGTTATGCGCATGTCATGACTTTATGAATTTCTAAATATAACCCGTTGGGAAAATGTAACAGTAAAGCAGATAAATTCACATTTTAGTTTCGAGAGAAGGTGGTTTATTTAAATTAAGCTTTGTTTTATTAACAAATGTGAGTAAAATAGATTTTAACGATTGCTCAAAAGTGAACTATTTTAAGATTCTGATTCATCATTCATATAAGTTCACAACATATTTGAATATCTGCATAAAGAACTAAAAATACAAAGAAAATGGTTTTCCATTGAACTTTGTTGATAACATCTTACGGAATATTTGGAAGAAGTTGAAAACGTTAAACAACTCATCTATAGTGTGCCATAAAAAAGAAACAAACAAAAAACAATATCTATCACACTACTATAAACGGGTAAACATGGGATGTTAGTGAAGAAAGAACTACACGGGTCTTTTCGTAGTAATGATTCCCTAATAGATTTACGATTGATTTTTATACAACTTTTTAGACTAACTGTTTTTGAGATTTAAGTACAGAATATTGTCCTTAACAACATGAAAGCGGTTCGTGAATTTAATTGTCCTAGATACAGTTCTACATTTGGTCTAGCACTAGAAGGCTAAAACTACTTGTGCAAAATTTTGCAAATTTGTAAAGTAGCAACAGAACTAGTATACTAGATGTACTTCCGCAGGGTTTCCGAAAGAGTTCAGTTTCAAAAATAAATAAAACCAAAATTAACAGTACAAATATTTTTATTTCTGTTTTTTTTAATTCATATGTCATGCTGTGTTGTAGCCTAGAAAGTGCATAATTCTTCTTGTGATTCATGGTATGCGCACGTTTTACTGACGTCACGATAGTACATATTGCAGTTGGAGCGTGTTAAGTTTAGAATAGGTTAGTGTAAATATTATTTTGTTTAATTTATTTTGGTAATGTGTACGTTTAACTTTTCATGTTATTAGACTTCGATCAATATAGCTGCTCTGTTTTATAATTGTTTCGTATTGTTTTGAGAGTTATCATTATGCTTTGTTTTATCTTATGGTTATTTTCTGGGTGTTTCTACAGTTTGTGTGCTTTCTTTATAATGGTGTCTAATGAGTCAAACATTTAATAGATGTATTCTTTATTATAAGAAGAATGTTTTTCTGGAGATAATCGATGTGAACGTTAAAAAGTATTTACTAAACTCAAATTGTGAAATTATTTCACCATATAGCGGCATGAAATAACGGGGGTGGAGTATTAAAAAATGTCACTTAACATCTAAGTTAGACATGTAGTTAAATGTGTAGGTCTTAGATTCAATGTTTGAGGCGGTAAAATTAAATATCTGCTGTCTTTCTATCCCATCTTCAACTATCCCTTCCTTCTGTTTCTGTGAGACTGAAGAGTTGTTCAATCTTGACTATGGATGTGTCTGCACTGTTTCCCTACCAGTGAAGAAATCTCCAGAATATATATTTTAATAGCTCATTACGCTTAGTTATTTACTTTAAAATGTAGTTATGTATCAATTCAACTTAAACTTTTTTACGATAATACTTAATAGCTTTCAACTTTGTGTCCCGTAAAGCTAAGTATAAATTAAAAACAAGTGTTTTCTCGTATATCAGTTTAGACTCATTAATTTGGCTCATAAACCTTTCAATTTCTCCTAATAAAATAAACTCCAGATCCTGGATTTTTAACCAATAACAAGTAATTATTTGTTGGCCAAAAATTCTTAATCAAGATTTACACAAATGCAAGATTCTCTATTGGAGTAAAGTCTATATATTATTCCCACCCTAAGCCTAACATCTCAAACTTGTTTTTACGAATACCCTGTCAAAATTTAAGCCTGATGTATTTTTTCAGTACTTAATATTTTGTCATAACTGAGTGAAAACTGAGTATTATCCTTCAGCTAAATCAAAATTATTCAAATCTCATAAAACACTGAATACTGAGTCTGAGTTAAACTTAATATTTGCAACCATCTTGAAATCTGAATATCATACCCACGTTAAGCCTAAGATATCGAACCTTGATTAGACATCACATTTTACACTCAAGTTAAACCTTAAACCTCGAATCATCTTAAAGACTGATAATAGGGGCGAAACTAAGCATAAACATTCTGAACGTAAGTTTGTCATATCATTGTCCAGTTAAGCGTAATATCTTGTGTCTGCGTTAACTTTTTAACGAAGTAAAATTGAAACATCTATAAATCGTAAAAGCTAAAACTAGAAAGAATGTACTTCAGAAATAATTTACAAAATATTGGAAAATAGTTCTCACAAAACTATAACCTTTGTTTGGCACCAGATACCAAAACCAAGTAAAATATTAAGATCAAAGTTGACCGATAACATACCTTACAGCACCAATGTAACCACGTATCTATCATTTCATTATTTATTTGGCCCATCTAGAAAAGAAGTTGCTTCCATGACAAGTGAAGAGATCTGCAGAAGTTAATCTACTGGCCACAGAGAACTGATAGGCCAGTAGAGAAATAGAGACAGTGTTGAATGACGAACCTTTTCCCTCTAAGAAGAATGCTTCTCTGCAGAAAACAGGTATATAGTGTAAACTTTGTAAAGTATTAATTATATTCAAATCTTAAAATAAATTGGCTCTATCCCCAAATATTGCTGTCCTATTCTTGAATTCCGTGTTTCTACCATATATTTAGCTTCACCCATTTTTTCTGCCCTGGCTATTACACCCAATCTATTTGCAAGCATCTAGCAGCTTGAATATTATACACATGTTAAGCCTAACAATTCGAACTTTAATTAAATATCATATGTTACATCCCTATCTGTTATATATTTTAAAATACAACAAAGCAAAATATACCCATGAAATATCGATAAGAAATAGTATTATCCTTTGGTAAGCGGTAAGCTTAAAGGTATATAACGCTGAAGTGCGGGGTTCGATCCAATGGTGGGTACCCATAAACATTCATTTGTAGCTCTATACCACACAACAAACAAATAATATACATTTATGTTTTAGCTGAATCAAACAAATAAATGGAAATATTTGGTCAAATCTGTTCACTCATCAGATTTGTTTCAAAGCTCTGATTATATTATATAAAAGTCGTGAGAGTCATTTTGTTTTTGTAAGTAATAGACATATGTGATTTCTTTCTAAAGAGTGCGCTTTTCTCACGTTCAAGTATTAAACTTAAGACCAGGAGTAGTTCAACGTTTGCTTATACGAGTCAATGAAGAAAACAGACAGAAAATCTTAACGCCCAAACAGCATGGAAGTTGTTTGTCAATAAGAAACATGTTACGACTGTCCGTGACAGAAACGTAGTCTTACTGACATATCCACAACTGTCTCTCGGCTTTCAACAGAGCTTCATAATCGTTCTATACTCAACAGTCTTGTCATCAAGCCTAGCTCAAGAACCATACAAAAAATAAGGTGATCTCTAAAACAACTGTTCAAGGCGATTTGTAGCTTTTAACGACGCACTCAGTCTCATGCCTTCATGAAACGAGTGTTTGTAATTGACATTGTGTTATTTCTGTGAACCAATATTTATATAGGTTTGGAAGTATATGTAACATTTGTGCTACTAATTTATACCTCAGTGACAAATTGTGAATCAAATGATAGACTGAGCTTTATGAGCAATCGATGTATGTAAGGTGATTAATGATTTTCATTTTGTAAGATAATTAATCTGTCTAAACAATACATATGGCCGTCAAATTATAAATCTTTGTTTTGTTAACGTTATGATTTTTCTATTTTTATGTGTTTGTAAGTTTTATACCAGTTTGTCTTTAGTTTCCATATACTAGAACAAACAGTCTAAGATGAAATAGGAAAATACGAATTTTTTTGTCTAAAGTTGCATATTTCTAATTCTAAACTTTATGTCAAGTTATATTCCATAGCTATGCATCTCTATCAATCAAAAACTTGTTCAAATTGTCAGTCTTTTAGCACTTTAATTTAAAAGTAAATAAACAAACAGGTCAAAGTGGTCAGTGTGTTGTTTATATTTTTGCAGAATTTTGGGTGTTTTTTATATACAGTTTAAATGGAAGATTTTAGTTATTAAATGCTTTATGTGGAATATCAGAGATATATAATTTCGTATTGTTTTCCTTAATGAGAGTAATAATTTCTACTCTAAAATATGAATCTCATGTTTTTAAACTAAATTTTCTCATTTATTTCTTAATATACTTACAGAGCTGGATCAAATACCTTGAAAGGTATTAATTTTTTATCTACATTTAAAAGCTTGAATTAAAATATCTTCAGAATTTTTACATATGAACTAGAACGCGAAATATCTGGCGAAGAAAGGAAACATTACTTCGAAAAACACCCAAACATTTCAAATCATTTAGTTGACTGGGCAACACTTAAGTCAATCGACATATAACTAGCAGTTGTCTTCACCTGTGATGGATGATGGTCTGCCTTTTTAGGTATCCCAAAATCGTACCAGTTGTTTACAAGCCGTTCTGGTTTCCGCTAACGACATTTTGGGATAACTGAATTGTTGGTTAAATTTCGCGCAAAGCTACTCTGGGGCTACCTGCGTTAGCCGTCCCTAAGTTTCATGTGATGGAGCAGAGAGTAAACAGCTAGTTAACACTTCTCTCCTCCAGTTTGTGGGCTATTTTAATCGAACAGTAAGATTTGACCGTCACTCTTATAATGTATCCATGGAAACTCGGATCAACATTTCTGCACGGGTTGAACGATCGACTAAGTGAATTGAACATAACTCTACCGACCAACAGGTTGAACGATCGTTCAACCCGTTGGTTGGTGGAGTTATGTTCAATTCACCCACTCGATCGTTCAACCCGTTGGTTGGTGGAGTTATGTTCAATTCATTTAGTCGATCGTGGGTGAATTGAACGTAACCATAATCGAAGGATCCGAGAATGTTCGCAGATCCAACTGAAAATGTATAGAAACAGTTTACACAAGGTCAATCTGTATTAAAAACGGCAACTGAGGTGAGCTCTACAAAACATCTCAACTGCAATGTACCAAGAACATGTAAAATGAACCAAGATGGAAAGTAATAGTCTTTTTTGTAGACGAATCGTGCTTCACGCTGCGGCCAGATAATAGGCTTATACTCATTTGTAGAGAATCTAAAACAGTGGTAAACATGATAAGGATCATGGCTCCTTGTGCTACCATCAATATGCAGTATGCTGGTGCAATTGAGTCTAAACGAAGATAGTATTCACCCCCGTTTGTTAAAATGGCGACATACTCTTTGAAATAAATAAATTGACCGAATGGAATGGCCATTACGGTCATCGGACCGGTAGGGGATGTATTATGTTCCTTCAACTGATCGCAGACACTAATGATGCCCTGAAAATAGCTCTGTCAAAGTAGTATCGCGAATAAACAGGTGTTATACTTGTGGGAAAGAAAGCCATGGACTGTAAAGATGTAAAACCACAACTACATTTTTTTTACTTACCTATAATTTACATTTTAGATGACATAACTGATCATATCGAATAGTTTAGAAAAATGCATAAAAAACGACAAAGATCAAATATATCACGTAGAAGGATAAAACAATTAATCGACAAATTGGACAACTTAAAATTGTCGAACACAATTAACTGATGGACATGTGAAGTCGTCTGTCCAGTTAAGTGCATTACAAGGATAACTCCTATGGTGGAAACAGCATTTTTAACTTAGGCATTCCGAAGTAAAATACCTTACTTGAAGATTACGTGTTTATATTGGCACTTTTTTGAAACACCGCATACAAAGAAAATAGAAACATTGTAAGTACGCAGGTTTACAAAAGTATTTCCAAAATTAGTTATCAAGATGTATGTTGTTAGTGTTAAAAAACGCACCCCTTCTGTGCTAAAGATTTTGCACTGTTATTATTCGTATATCTGAAATAAATTTGTTTTGAGTGACAAGAACATATATGACGAGCTATATTGAAATAAAAATCCGCTGAAACAAGAGTCACGATTCTATGTGAGTTTGAGCTTTCATCGTCTTCATTAACTGTTGTTGTTTTTTCATGTTTCTGACGAAGACTGCAGCTGACGTGCCCCAATTTAAACCTATATTTTTATTGTTCAATGCGCATGAGCTACTGAACGGGTGAACAGAAAAGTAAATATCCAGTAAGATTTTCATAGCAAGAATCTCCATTCTCCAGCATGAATGAAACCACCTGATTTATCGACTCGAATACAAAACGGCATATAATTTGACAATAAAGTCGGTTACTTGGTAAACATTTGATGAGATGTACTACTAAATAAATTATACTGTTTTAACTGATTATTTGTGAAACCTTATGTTTGAATCAATGAAATGTTTTACACATATGTATATATATATCACTTCTATGGAAAATGTTGTTGTTGTATCCTCATTTCCGTTAGTGTCTGTGCAACTATTCATATGACCACAGTTTCCTTAGTGTCCAATTATTCATATAACCGCAGTTCTGTTAGTGTCTGCGTAAGTATACATATAATTACAGCTCATTAGTGTCCAACTATCCATATGACCACAGTTTCCTTAGTGTTCAACTATTCATATAACCGCAGTTCCGTTAGTGTCTGTGTAACTATCCATATAACCACAGCTCATTAGTGTTCAACTATCCATATGACCACAGTTTCCTTAGTGTCCAACTATTCATATAACCGCAGTTCCGTTAGTGTCTGTGTAACTATCCATATAACCACAGCTCATTAGTATCCAACTATCTATATGTGGATGATCTAACAGTATATATATAACAGTATATTGCGTATTAACCCAAAATAAGATTAAGGAAACATATCACAACAAAGAGCCCTCCCCCATGGCTTATCGATAAGTTTGCGGACTTATAACGCTAAAAACAGGTTCGAATATCCGTGTTGGACACAGCCCAGATATATAATTGTGTAGCTTTGCGCTTAATTACAAACAACAATCCAGCAATTAACATACTGATGAAAAACGGTCAAACATATAAAGTTTTATTAAGTATAATAAACATTCATTGTAATTTTATCACTTATTTGAAAAAATTAAAGTATTTCTGATCCTTGTGTTTTTATGTTAAAATATTCATGTTTAGGGCTAACACCCACCAAGAAAAATTTGACAAATTGAAAAGGTTATTGAAAAGAAAAAGAACTGTAGAAAAGAACAAGCACATGAAATTTTATACCAAACGAAAAATACGCGGAATCTTTTAAGATACGTATAAAAAGAAAACAAGTCTAGCAAAATCAAGCAATTCTACACTGTCCGAGAATGTTATGAAAAAGTTTTGAAAACTGTATAACGTTTAGCAGAATCAGAAAAACATTCCGAAGAAAGTCAGAGGTCACAATTATCCAAATAACAAGAAACAATATGTTTTCGTGGTCTATTTAATATTTTGAAACTTATTTTTCTTTAAATGTTTTTTCAAACTATAGTCCGAATTTTATCTCTTTGTAGCTATACTCAGTATAGTACTCAGTATAGTACTCAGTATACTACTCAGTATAGTACTCAGTATACTACTCAGTATAGTACTCAGTATAGTACTCAGTATAGTACTCAGTATAGTACTCAGTATACTACTCAGTATAGTACTCAGTATACTACTCAGTATAGTACTCAGTATAGTACTCAGTATACTACTAAGTATAGTACTCAGTATACTACTCAGTATAGTACTCAGTATACTACTCAGTATAGTACTCAGTATAATACTCAGTATAGTACTCAGTATACTACTCAGTATATTAGTATATTTTTGTTTTAACTACTTTCCCGCCAAAATCATATCGTTTTTTTGTTTTCTTTTGTTACGTCAGCGATCCTATCACAAGACATTTACCCTCCACTATCAGTACTGGTTTTGCTTCATCAGACACTTTTATATAGCATTATTCTACTAATAACGTAAATTTTAATTTACATTTTTACACTTAATCTAAACATGAAGCGCAAAAAACACATAAAAAACTAAAACCTGTCTATGCTGATGATAATATTTAGTGAAATATTGTGGTAGAAGAGGTATCTGAAATTAGAATATGCACATCGTGTATCAAATGCAATGTATATATATATATGTGAAGCTCACTGAAAATCGAAATTATTAGAAAACCTGGGTGCTTCTACTGAACATTCGATAAACATTATAACTAATGTTTACTATTAACCATCAATTAGGGAAAGGTAGTTTCTCTTAATGAAGTGGGAAACAGACCTTTTAAGAGACCCCCCAGTGGCACAGTAGAATATCTGCGGACTCATAACGCTAGAAACTAGGTTTCGATACCTGTGGTGGGCAGAGCACAAATAGCCTATTGTGTAGCTTTGTGCCTAATTACAAACAAATATTTTAAAAGAGACAATTGCGTGGGAAGCAAGACATATCCCTTGAAGTTGATATTCCATTTACAAAAATGATTAAAATCCTCTTTGAACAAAGCGTACAGCCTAAGGTAACAAAGGAAAATAGAATATATAAATGTACAGATATTTCACCACTATTTCTGTTTGTGTGCTACCTTTGGGAGACTAAGTTTACCCTATATCACCAGTGGCCCGTCTTTAAGTAACCTGTTCCATTTCTGTTCAGAGACATTATGAGCTGGAGTATTGACATTTCTTCGAAATTCATTTTTAGCTCCAGGTTTATTAATAGAGTTTAAAACTGATACGTGGTGTACCCCTAATGTTAAGTGGATCCAACTGTTTACAGACTTGAGGCTTATTACAGATTTTAAAACTGATACGTGGTGTACCCCTAATGTTAAGTGGATCCAACTGTTTACAGACTTTAGGCTTATTACAGATTTTAAACCTGATACGTGATGCACCCCTATCTTTAAGTGTACCCAGTTCCTTAAAACTAGAGATTTATAACAGAGTTATAGATGTACCCCACTGTTAGGTTGATCCAACTCCTTAAAAACTAGAGGTTTATAACAGAGTTATAGGTGTCCCCCCACTGTTAGTTTGATCCAACTCCTTAAAAACTAGAGGTTTATAACAGAGTTATAGGTGTACACCCACTGTTAGGTTGATCCAACTCCTTAAAACTAGAGGTTTATAACAGAGTTATAGGTGTACCCCCACTGTTAGGTTGATCCAACTCCTTAAAAACTAGAGGTTTATAACAGAGTTATAGGTGTACCCCCACTGTTAGGTTGATCCAACTCCTTAAAACGAGAAGTATAAAACAGAGTTATAGGTGTGCCCCCACTGTTAGGTTGATCCAACTCCTTAAAAACTAGAGGTTTATAATAAAGTTTAAATATTATAAATGGCGTACCCCTATTGTTAGACTAATCCAATTTTTTATAGATAATTTCAACACCAGGATACAAAAAACCCAGTATACCGAGCGCTTTTGATGTAAGGTATTATCAACCTGAACGGCACCTTATACGTGTTATGGGTCAAACATCCAACTAAGAGACACAAACGTTCAGGCACAGTTGTCCCTAATATAATACTGCTGAAAGAGAGAGAGAGCAACCAGTCAGCTGCAACCAATGCTTACATGATTTTTTTTAACCGAGAACGAGATTGACTGTCATTTTGTAAGTGTGAGGCACTCATACTTCAAAGTTCAGTGCGTTTTCAGCGACACATCGCTAACTCAATCTTGGACATTTATATCTGTATCCTAAGATACTAAACGCTAGGCTACATCCATTTTCCAACAGTTAGAATTTCCCAACTTACCATTGAACAAGAAAGGCCTAACTTCCAAAAAATCTCGGGTTATCGAAGTTTCGTTGTGTGATTTAGTTTACTTTTGACCCTAGATAATGTCTAAGTATTATTTATCTATCATCAGGATATATTTAGCGTTTCCAATTTCTAGCTTTTGCTCTACATTTGTTCTTCTGTCTTTTGTATGTCAGACTCCATGTTTTTCGCCTGGACAGGTCTGGTGATTACGGAGCTCAACTCGCAATCTGCGGATCGCGGGTTCGAATCACGTCACCAAACACGATCGTTCTTTCAGCTGTGAGGGAGTTAAAATGTGACAGTTACTCCATCCCAGTGGCTTAGTCTAAGTGTGCAGGCTTACGACGCTAAAAATCGGGATTAGATACCTGTGGTGGGCAGAGCACAGACAGCCCATTGTGCATATTATAAGCAAACCATGTTTTAAGGCTACTTGTTGAAATAAAATTACTATTTACCAGCTTTGGCATTAGTGTTAAATTACACTCTCCTTTCTTTTTATTAAGGCGAGCTAATTTCTGTACACAGATATACAACTTCAGTGGTCAATCAAATGCGATATTCCACGTAAACTGTTTGTCTTGTTATGTTATAAAGCTAGATAATGAACTTACTGCGTTCTGCCTACCGCAGGGATTGAGCTCCAAATGATAGTGTAATAAGTACTTAAAATTGGTGTTGGAAATTTGGGGTTTTTGAAAACGAAAGCCCTCCTATAGACTATTGATAGCTTTCTAGTGTTCAGAGCAAAACCGAAAGACGAGGAAACATTTGTTATGCTATTCCAAGCTTCAACTTAATGATTGATATTTTCTTTCGAAATATAAACGCCATCTACAAAAACATAATGTATATTGTGATTTTAAGTGCTAACTCAGTCGTTAGAAGTTTTTTTTATAGAAACTACATCTCATTTAAACAAGCAAGAAGAGCTGTTTTGAAAATATTTTGTTTCAAGTTATATATGAACATCTAAGTAAAGAGAATTTATTATAATTAACTTGTATAGAATTTCTTAATCGAAAAAATCAATATCGTACGTTTACAGTTACAAAATAGCGTATATTCTGTTGGAGTTTGTCCAACGCTGTTCTAGAACATCTTGTCAAAGTTATACCAAACTTCACTAGGAGGTGGTCTGACAAACAAACCAAATACTAGGCATCAAATTCCAGTCAAAGTCTACCGCTTAGACTTTCCACAGCTGTGAAAGCAAACAAGGCCTGCCCCATGTTTCAGTGAACCCGACCAGTTTGGTGAAAAAGTCGTGAAAGTGACATTTGCAAACAGTTCGTTCGTCTTCTAGATTTAAGTCCTTGGATGTACTTCAAAATCTCAACACGAACATATTTTGTTTTCAAGCTGTATTTCTGTGGCCACGTAAACAAACTAATTTTGACACTATGCAATATTGATTATCTAAACTACAAAAGCGCCACACTAAACCTACTATTATGAGTTATTAAAAACAAGTCTTGCCGAGATTTGTCTAAGCTAAGTAAATGGTGTCTGAACTAAATTAGGCTAACTTAAGGCGGACAACATGACTGTAGAAACGCTGTATTTCTGACATGGAAACAACAA